ACATTAATACATTGCATCATTGCGTGAATATACAATTTTATTTAAATGTTTAGAAAGAATAAATAATTTTGGAATACCATAGTATAGGTAAATATAACTTATAAGTATAGCATAACTTCTAAAAGTAAAGGTGTTTACTATTTATACCTTAAATGTATTATATTATAATATTCATAAAATTGTTATCACCTAACTTAAATAATATAATTTGAGTTGGTAGGTAACTTAAAAGTTACAATTAATTAAACAATGTTATTAACATGAAATTTCTAATTTTTTTTAATATTATTCATTCAAATAAATATTGATAGTATATTACTATATTAGTAAAACTTTGTATCTTACAGTGTGCCATTGATTTAATAGACATTGATCAACGTCTTTATGAAAATGCAAAAGAAATAATCAGTGTTTTTAACAATTAAACAAGAAAATGTTTGCAAATTTTCAATGACCAAGTGAAAGATTCTTCAATAGAAAATTACTCACTACTATGATGGAAAATTTAAATGCATCTGACAGTACCTAACATCTATCTATATATATATATCAAGCCTATAGCCAGTACCACTGAACGGATCTGGCGGAAATTTGGCATATTTGGCTATTATGACGGAGGCATTCGGTAAGAAAAATTTTTTGGAAATTTTAGCTCTAAAAGCTAAAATAAGGGGTTGAAAGAATACATTTGCGCCATCTATCAAGCAATATCTAATTTAAATATACAACATGTGTATGGTGTATTGAATAGTATCGGGCTCACAATTGAATACTATCGTTAATGTGAACACAAACATATACATACAAAATAACTAGACATAGTGTTAACGGATTGTATAATTGAAGTATTTACTCAATAAATATAAATATATTTATGAAATATACACATGTATTAATGCTTAATCAAACAAGCTATAAAATCTAAAAAAGGTCATGGTTTAAAATAAGGCATGTATTTTCCAAAAAAACTCAAAAAACATAATACGTGGTTCAAAGTATCAGCACCAGACCTATAAAGAAATGGGACTCCTAGAAGAGAGAGGTACTGAAGACCAAATCTTTAGAGGGAGATAAAGCATAAAAGAAGATATTATCATGTTAGAACAAATGATCACCATATTATCCAACATTTACTTATTATTCTATGATATATTTTTTTTTCGGCCAATTCACTTGTTCGCCGCAATCCTCGACTCGAACCATGGACTAAGATAGTATGGACTGGTATCCACTTGGTTGGGGGGTAGTAGAAGAACGGTCCTCAAATGTTTCGACACCGCCACACCCCCGTCCTAATAGGCCGCGAAATGTACAACTAGGGCACGGCTATAGATAATATGGTTGCGAAACGGCCTATACTAAACAACGCATTACACCGAGCTGGAATGTTATTGAAAAGTCACGTGACTAAAATTACGAGCCTGTCGTGCCATCTACGGTATTTGATAGAACTAATAATTATTGTACCACGTCTATATTATGCAGAATGCAGAATTGCAAACCACGGCCATGGCTATTATAATATATTAAAATGCAAACTATATATGACATACTATATTATAATTTAAGTATATATCCAGTGGCGTACACAAGGGGGGCTAAAACGGGCTAAAACCCCCCATTGCCGTATAATTATTACTTTAAAAAAATATATTAATGAATTTTTTAACTACAAATTAACTATGGTTTTGTCAAAATGTCCTCACCTAAACGTCTTAAATTATTAGAATGGACAAAATAAAAATAAAATTGTAATTAATTGTCAAGCCCCCCCCCCCCTATTGAAAAATAGCCACTGTATCTATCCATTGAATAAATATGATAAAACTATTTAAGTATTTTAGATTCTGAGTGAAACGATGAATGTATTGAATTTACAATGATGTGTTTTTTTTTTATTTTTTTTGTGTCTGTGTGCACGATAAGTAGTCGAAATAATGCTTCGATTTTCAACTTCAGTATCTTGTTGGATTGGAAAGTGAATATCGTTGGTGCATTGGGGAGGTCAAAATTTAAATTTTCCAGTAGTTTTCAAAAGCCCCGGGAAAAACAAAATAAAAATTAAGGAAAAACGGGAATTTTTATAATTTTTTTTAACGGGTTTTCCAAAAAATCGATTTTGGTTTTTGGTGTAACTTTAAAACAAATGACCGTAGATACATGACATTTTCAGTGGTTGTTTATATTTGCATATTCTATACACGATAACATTTTCAAAATATTTTAATATTTTGATTTATTATGAACTGTTTAGGGACATTTTCATTTTCCAATTTTATTAGTTTTTTTTTTATGAATATCAATAAAATTTTATTTGTTGAGTAAAAATACTTGAAAATTTAATACAAGGCTCCTACTATATTGTTTCAGAGACATATGAAAAATATTAAAAATCGTTAGTCACGGTTTTTTTTTTTAAGCATTTAAGTTCAAAAAATGACAAAATATGGAAAAATCACGAAAATTTGCAAATTATTTCGAGTTAGAAATTCATAAAAATTTTTCTTTTTAAATCTAAGATATGAAAATGTAATACAAGATTCCTTATAAGATTTCCTACATTTATCAAAAAAAAAAATTCTATATGAAAGTCAAATTAAATTTTTATGAGCGTTTGAAATTCAAATTTTTACAACATTGAATATTCACTCGATGTAGCAATTTTCTTATTTTGTTGTTATTTAAAAACCAATGACTGTAGATACATGAAAATTTCACTGAATGTTTATTTTATCAATTCTTATACTTGATAACATTTTCAAAATATTTTGACTTTTTTTGAGCTGTTTACGGACAATTTAATATTTCAATTTTTTTAGTTTTTTTTTTCTATAAATATCAATTAAGTTTTATCTGTTTTGCCAAAAAGTGTAAAAAATTAATACAAGGCTCCTGATATATTGTTACAATAGCAATTGAAAAATATTAAAAATACATAGGCACAATTTTTTTTTATAAGCATTTAAAGATCGCATTTTGACAAAATTTATCAAAATCTCGAAAATTATCAATCATCGTAATTAATAAATTATAAAATGTTCAGTTTTTATAGCTAAGGGTTGAAAATTTAAAAAAAGATTCTCATAAATAGTTCATACTGTAGCCAAAAAATCTAAAAAGTATATGAGCTTAGTTATTTTTTACAGACATTTTAAGTTCAAATTTGGGACGAAATTACATATTAAAATACCTAGCATACCTATTTTAGTTATTTTGTTGTGAGTGTATAATACTATTCGTGGGTACTTGAAACTTCTAAAGTACACTATATTATATATCTATGATAGTATCAGGGTTTGTTATTGATGTATAACGTGTTATAAGTACCTAATGGATATTATGATATGATTAATTTGGAATTTATTATAGGTCAATTTTTTTTTTAATACCTTAGATATGTATATAATATGTCTTAAACCTAGACTGACATACCGTCTTCGCTCAGAATCGTTTTTCTTATATAGTGATATTGTATCATTGAATTCAAATTTAATAGCATCCATTATACAGTGACCCACTTGTAACCTACTGTACAGCAGAGCGACATCCACTTACCCACCTTTTTTATTTTTGTTGTACACAGTTTGCTTTTCCGCGTAAATTGACGTGTTCAACACGAATTGAAACATTATTATTTTGATTTAGAATTTATTTCCTGTGCTCTGAGTCAAAATAACCAAGTTTAATAAAAAAATTTCAGTATGGTTAATTGTTGTGTGAAATATCCACATGAAGCTTCAAAAACAACTTTTGGGGTCCCTAAAGGCTAAAAGCATAGAGGAATGAAATAAATGGGAAAATGCATTAAAAACTGTTCTTAAAAAAAGTTACAGAGTTTTTGCTTCACACTTTAAGAAGAGCGATATTAAGTCTACTTGGGAATAAAAAAAAAAATTATCAAAATTGGTTACTTCTTAAATTTAATTTTAAAATTAATATAATATATTTAAGTTTAGCTACTTACTATAGTTAGTCTAAATATTGGTGTGTAATTATTAATTAATACATATAAATACTTAAGCGAGCACTATAAACCTGAATTATTTATTTATTGCATACCTATAATATTCGTATATCCAATCAAAAATATTATTGTATTACTGTATTTTACTTCTGTATAATTATTGTTGAAAAACAATAACTATGACAAAAATACAGAATAATATAATTTTTAATGTAGTCATACAATTTATCACCCAGAGAGCGCTGTGTGCTGGTGTAAAAGCTATTATACGTTTTAAGCTTCACATTTTCACGTTTCGTTCCGCAACCATATTATCTATAGCCGTGAACTAGGGGTAAAAGCGCTCCTAGTGTCAAATAAAATTACTAATTTTGTATATTTAGATGGTTACTATTATTATTATGATAATTTGATTTTTGATGTTTTCATATTAATGTTATTAGTTATTACTTATTATAATTATTGTGTTTTTATAACACACGTGTAGATGGCGCTTTTACCCCTAGTTGTATCTTACGGCTTCTTTAGAAAAATTTTAGCGCCACTGATAAGGTAGTCGGTACCAGTCCATACTATCTTAGTCCGTGTCTCGAACACACTCATAGGCACACAGTCATAATAACATCACCGATTTCTGTTGAGTTCAGCCCACACGTCCGTCGATATAGGGTGAGTACGAAAATTTTCAACGACTAACCATAGTTAAAGTGCCCGTTATGCCAACGTGAGTACGTGACCCCTTCACTTATCAGGTTACCCGGTACTACCAGTTTGCGTGTTAAGGTCTTTAAACATATTTTGCTCGTCCCTGCCGACAGGTGCGATGTTTTACATTTTCTCCAGCGTTACTGTTATGTTATAATTTTGTTTAATCGCTTCGGGTGGCATACAATTGGCATGTATGTTGATCCTAAATTATATCTGCATAGAATTTATTGGTTTTTACTCTCCGCCAGTTGACAATTTGCAGTGTAGCATTCGTTGACATTTCCTGCCGAAGTTTTGTCCATTGCTGAGTTAAAGTGACGACTTCATCATGGCCACCAACGGCCACGATCATCTAGAACTGGTGGTTTTGCCACCAGACGACTTGGACATGAGAACAACAGAGGGGAATAACATCAATAACAACAACAATAATAACACCAACCCGGTGTTGAGTGTATGGGACTACCTGTTGAACGCTGTATTCTACAGTGCCACCTCGGTGTACGAAATAATAATCCTAAGATATCGGTGGAGGC